AAATGTCGCTATTTACGTCTTTCCAAGCTCTCTTTGTGAGCGTTCTTTGCACAGCTGTAATGGCCTGTGCAGATTCCGTGGTGTTTGCCTTCCTCCCTCAGCAAATGTCCGTTGTGCCCCGGGCGGGCCCTGTGCAGCTGGAAGCTCAGAGCCCACCGTGTCTGAGATCAGACCACCCTCCAGTTCACCCGGTCCCCCGCTGCTGTCCGCTCCTCAGTCTCTGACCCCTTGGCTCCTCTCCCATCCAAGGCTTCTCGTCTGGCTTACTCGTTGGAGCACAGCTGCGTGCTCAGGCATGGCATCCTGACACTCCCTCAGCTCCATTTTGGAGCTCATGCCGCAGAGGCAGGAGGCACACTCCTGTGCTCCTCCGAGCCCTGGACGCTACACAGCCTCGTTGCAGCGGGCCTGAGGTGTTCCTGATAACTTCACTTCCCTGGTGATTCAGGCCTCCCTGGATTCTCAGCGTGTCTTCCTCTGGTCTCTCCCACCCTGCCTGAATCACAGGGGCAGAGGTCTTGCTAGAATGCAGGTGCTGGGCCCTCACCCAGTTCTTGTGAATCTGGAGAAGGGGCTGGGAATCTGCATTTTTACAACCTCCCCAGACAATGTGGTACCCGCTACAATGGGAGAATGACCGCTCTGCTGTTTCCCCTTGTTTACAACTTGGAGCTTTAAAAAATGGCTTGACTGGCCAGGAAGGTGGCTCACACCTGTAATCCCAGCACTTTCGGAGGCTGAGGTGGGCGGATCACAAGGTCAGGAGATTGAGACAAGCCTGGCCAACAAGGTGAAACTCCATCTCTACTAAAAATAGAAAAAAATTAGCTGGCATGGTAGAGCACACCTGTAGTCCCAGCTATTCAGGAGACTGAGGGAGGAGAATCGCTTGAACCCAGGAGATGGAGGTTGCAGTGAGCCGAGATCATGCCATTGCACTCCAGCCTGGGTGACAGAGCAAGACTCTGTCTCAAATATATATATATCTCAAAAAAAAAATGCCTTGATTGGCCTGGTGCTTTAGAAAATCTTGAAGAGACTGTCAAGAGCAAGCGTCAATTCTCTGAGCCTAAGCCTTCAGCCGGGTTGACCCTGCTGTCACCTCATTTCCTCTTGGCCACCTGCCTCCTCCTCTTCCTATGACCTCTTTAACCTACAGCCACAGCAGGTCAGAAAAAAGCCAGGATGCCATTCTCATTGGACCACTCAGCTTCCCTGGAAGCCGAGGAATAATTTCTGAGGGAGGAACTGGCGATTATTGGCCAAAATTGAGGGCTAAGAATTTACAATTGGCCTCTAAGAGTTGCTTTTATGTGTATTGTGCATGGAGGATGGATCACGTGAGTGGTGGTGGGGGTGGGGTGGCCTATATCATGGGTGGGCTTTGAAGAAGGCGCCTGATGGGTGAGACTTCCAAAGAGTCCTCTCTTGCATCCTCCCCCCATCATGGGGGCCAGTTCCCAGGGCTTCTAATTCACTGTTTCTTCCCAGATAGAGGAACCCCTTTGACTCTTCTGGGGTTTACACACTATTCCTCACTCCTCAGTCCCCACCCTGGACCTTAGAGGTCCCAGCTATAGGATGAGGAGTTCTGGGTAGATGGCCTGGGAAGTTCTTTCTAGTCTGAGGCTTTGTGCTATTTGCTGCAGATAGAGGTCTCTCAGTGCCACCAGGATCCCATGCTGGACATGACCTCCTCCCCTCCCAGGGTGGCCTGGACTGCAGGATTGTGGCGTGGTCCAACCCCCTTGTGAGTGGAAACTAAAACAGGGCTCCAGTCCCAGAATCCCGTGAAACCCAACGAGGTTGAGGCATCAGTCAATCGAACACGGGGAGGCAGGTTGGAGGGGCTTAGAGTGGCGTGGGCTGAAGGCATGTCTGCAGACGTCTGTGCAAGCTCACACTCACACTCCCAGTGCCCTCCTAGCGAGGCAGTGGCAGCCAAGCAGCAGCTAGCTCCTGGTTTGGAGCTTTGCTTTGAGGCCTTCCATGCCTCAATTCTCCCCAAGGCATTTCCCCTAACTGGCTGCCCCCTGAGAAACAGCTCCAACCCTTAGAAACCCAGGGGCAGATGCTCAGTGGAAGATGTAATAGGAATCTAAGCAAAGCCTCATAGAGGCACAGGCTGGAGCCCCCAGCCCTGAAATTTGTTCTTCCCTGCAAGATGGAGAGACACAGCCTCAGCCTGGAAATTCTACCCTGGGTGTCATCAGGTGACTTCCACCACTCAGATTTTGGGTCTTAAGGGATGTTGGTCAAGAGAGCAATTATCATTCACAGCCCGGGATGACCTGTCCTTGGTGCACATTGTCATGGGCACAGCTCCTCTCCTGCCAGTCACCCAGACTCCTTGGCTCCCTTGGCAAGCCCTAACCTGTCAGTTCTGTACACAGGCACCCAAGGAAGGAGGCTGGCTTGGGCACAGGAGCTGAGACCTTCATCTCCTTCACCTCTGCCCTCGGGTCCCATGAGTGAGACAGGCTGAAGCCTTCTCAGATTCTGGGACCTTTGGTTCAGGGACAGTAGGTATTCCATTAATTTGATACTGACTTCCATAGCTGGGGGCTGAGCCCAGAAATCCTGACCCAGACACATGACGGCAATGGGCAGAACAGGGTGGATGTGAAAAGCTTCTGCAAATGGGAGAGAGGAGCCAGGGCGTGGTGTGGGCAGCAAAGGCTGACCTTTTCTCCTTGAAAGAGATGATCCAAAGCTGTCATTTTCACAAACGTGGCTGGGGCTGCAATTGAAAAGAAGCTTCTAGTCCTTCTGGTCTCTGACTCTGGGCAGGTCAAGCAATATCTCTGGGCCTCAGTTTCCCTGTTGGTAAAATGTCCGGATACACCGATTGATTGGTCCCACCATTTGTGTTCCATGTTTTACATCTGTTCTGTAAGTTTCTAGTTTCCCAAAGGGTATGTTTAGGGGAAGAGCAGCTGAGAAGACAGAAAGCGCAGTCCTTGAAGGCAGGTGTGAGGGAGCTTGCGCAGGAAGGTATTTCCCAGGATTAGAGAATTGTTTTCTCCATTCTGAAGAAGAGGAAATAGCTTCAAGGAAGCTGAATGAGCCGGGGGGCTGCAGCATGGCCGAGCTGGGGTTTTGGACTGCACTTTTTTCGCTCTTTCTGTAGATCTGTCCCTGCCTTTCTCCTTCCACCTCCATTTCTCAGACTCCCACCACCCTCTAAGCCCCTCTCAGTGACATCTCCATGTGGCCTTCCCTGACCCCCCAAGCAGAATCAGTTGCTCCCCCACCATGTCCTATGGCTTCTTCTCTCCCCTGCTCTTGCCCCCTTGACTTCTTCTTGGACCAGAGATAGTCTGCCTGTCTCCATGGCCTGGGAGCCCCTCAAAGGCTGGGACTTCCACTTCTGAAGTCTTTCCCAGCCCCACCACAAGGAATGAGAGAGAGTAGGTACTCTGTAAGCAGGTGTGAAATTGAAGTTACCCAGAGGGTCCTTCTGCTTCAACATGTGGGTTCGTCACATCTGTCACCTCCCTTTTGGCCTCAGAAGTATGACTGTCTGTGTAACCCCCAACTCAGCCCCGAGAATAGTACTTTATGTTGAAGCCCACAACCCAGTGTAGACAAGTGGCCGAGAGGGAATTCCTTCTGTTAATTATGCCTTAGAGGGCACTCTCTCTGAGGGGTTCCTACACTAGGCAGGAGAGTGGGGATCCTGGACCCCCTGCCCTTCCTATAGAGAGGAGGTTGGTGGCTGGGTGTGGTGGCTCATGCCTGTAATCCCAGCACTTTGGGAGGCCTAGGTGGGCAGATCATGAGGTCAGGAGTTTGAAACCAGCCTGAACAACATGGTGAAACCTCCTCTCTACTAAAAGTACAAAAATAAGCCAGGTATGGTGTCATGCGCCTATAATCCCAGCTACTCAGGAGGCTGAGCAGGAGAATCGCTTGAACCTGGGAGGGGAAGGTTGCAGTGAGCTGAGATCATGCCACTGCACTCCAGCCTGGGCTCCTTCTCAAAAAAAAAAAAAAAAAGGGGGGGGGTGGAGAGAGAGAGACAGAGAGAGAGAGAGAGAGAGAGAGAGGGAGAGAGGGAGAGAGAGGAAGTTGTGAGTCCCTGCCTCTAACCCTCTGAGCTGTCATGAGTGTGACCTCCCCATCTTTCCATGACCTGTTTTCACCTACAGCAATGGGAGGTCAGAAGAAGCCCATCTGTGATTCTCATGGTCCATCCACCTTGTGTGTTAGTACCCCAGTGAGGACAAGGACCAAGAATGGCTTATGTTTGCTCTGACTCCTAGCTCTGTGTGCGGGGCATGGGAGGGAATCAGAGGATTTTTGGAGTGGAATAGAACGTGTTATTACTATTTAGATTGTTAGACTTAAAGCATGGCCAAACATCAGAAGGAACTTCGAGCTCGAGCAATGAGCCCTGCCCCATGTGGGGTATCAGTCTATCTGAGAGTCAAAGGTGAGATTTGTTCAAGGCCATGTCGAGCTGTCTGCCTACGTTCACTCTGTGGTCTGTGCCTTCTCCCTCCACAGGGGACACTGCATGGCCTTCCAGGGGCAGTAGAAACGGCATAGGCTTTGGAGTCAAAAAGACCTGAGTTGGAATCCCGGCTCTGCATGTTCCTGAGTGTTGCCTTGGCAATGACTTCATCTTTCTGGGTTTCACTCACTTTATAAAAGGGAATTGATGTCCCTTTTGAGGTTTGCTGTCATGTTGAAAGGAGGCAATGTTTACAGACCGCCTGAACGCACAGCAGCTACTCGAGAAGCCTACCCCCAGCATTCCCCTTCCCTGTTGGTGGGGACAAGGGAACACATTTTTGTCCCAGTGGGGCCTGAGAAGGAGTTCATTCCCTTAATGTCCCTCAGCTCTAGTTATATCCACATGCCACCAGTTTCCCCTTCTCTGAGGTTGCCTAGGGGAAAAGGGGTATAGAGCTGTGGGAAGATGGCCATCCTTCCCTGCTGTGCTGCTGGGGCCAAGATGGGCCACACAGAAACTTACCCGAAGTCTTCTTTGGCAGAATCTAGGTCCCTGGGTTCTTACCCCACCAGCTGTGTGACCTGGGAAGCTTATTCTCTTCTCTGAGCCTCAGAGTCCCCTGGGATTTCACAGGATAACGACCTGCCTTGTCTGCAGCTTGGAGCTGTTGCAAAGATCCAGGTAAGCATTTCACACACAGCGAAGTGCTGTACAAACACGGGGCGTCATCACAATTTTATTGTAAGTGCCATTGTTTTCTTAAAGAAAGTTTAAGACGTAAAAGAACCTTATACTATATCTTGCAAAAAAATTTTTTTTGGCAGCAGAAAAAAAAATGGAGAAGGAGAGGTTAAAAAGAAAAAAAGGATTTGAGCCAACAGCTTCGACTTCCTTGTCAGCCAACTAGAGGAGAGAAGTGAGTAACAGGTTTGTTTCCAAGGGAGTCCGTCTGAGCCAAGAAGAGCTGTTGCCAACCCAGCCAGGGCCTGAGGCCAAGGCCTCATGGGGGGCCAGCTGCCTGTTCACCCTTCCAGACCTCATTTCTCCTACTGCATGTTAGACCAGGGTGCTGGTGTCAGGGTGCCAGAGGGCCTCGGGCCTGGCTCCTCCAGGCTAGATCTGCTTCTCTTCCCCCTCCACGGGAGAGCCTCGACGGAGGTTAGGAAGGAGAAAAATCGAACCTCTTGTTCGGCGTATGTTTCTGAGGCTTAACCAGAGTCTGTCCGGTCACTGCCCAGCTCTAAATTGGGGCTAGAAGGATGGTGGTGGGGACTAGGAGGAGACTGGGGAGGGCTGTGGAAGGGCTCAGAGCCTCTGGGGAGGACCTGGGAGGTTCGGATGGGAGCAGGAGAGGCTCCTTCTCTTGCTTTCTCTGCCTGGCTCTCCGACCAGGCGAATCTGTCCCCTTTCCTTGTTTCTTGCCTTTCTCAGCTGCCTCCCAGCCCAGGCTCCACAGCCGTCCCTGAAACACTGGCACAGTCCTTGGTACAGGCTCCCTTCCTCTCTTCCCCTCCTTGTCCTCCCCAGTGGGCCACCCAGGCCTGGGCTGGCTCTCAGGAGGCCGGCGTTCTCTGGGCTACCTGAGAGCCATGCAGGGAGCCCTGCTGTCCTTGGCTGGCGCTTCCGTACCTTTCTCATGTTGCAGGGGTGGGAGGGGGGCGCGGGTGGGGATGGTGGCAGTGGCATGCTGCCAGGTTGGGAAGTCCTGAAAGCTGCCCAGAGCCCAGTTAGAAAGGAACAAGGGGGTAGACTTGGCCAGAACCCTTGCCGGGCAGCCACCATCAGCAGCCACTGAAACCTTACCTGGCCCAGCCTGCGGTGCTGACTGATGAATGGGAGACCAGCCAGGAAGGGGCTTCCTCCCATCAGATGCTCCGTGAGCACCAGCCAGTGGCTGTGACTGACCGTGTCATTCCTTTTCACCAAGTGTTAAAAGACAAACGAAGCTGGTGGAAAGACCTGGCTCCAGGACAGGAGGGCAGACGGCAGGCTGGGCGCGTTTCTTCCCTGGCCGGATGTGGCCCCTGCTCACCAATGCCTGGAGAGAAAAGGTCAGAGTCGGCCCTAGGGTCAGCCCCTCTAACCCCCTTATTTTACAGATTGGGAAACTGAGGCCTGGCAAGGGGAGCGGACCCACCCAGTGACATCATGCCTCTCAGCCCTGTGCTATTTCTCTCCATCTCTGCTGCCTCTCACTGAACCAAGCACTCCAGGCTGCCCAATGGATCAAAGCTTTGAAAATTAGCTGATTGGAGCCAGGGATGCACTTCTCAAAGAAAAAAACATATTTCATGATCAACTACACTGCCCACTTCCCAAGGATCTCCTCCTTTCCTGACACACCCTCCCTCCCTCTTTCTCTCTTTGTTTCTGAGTCTCTCTCTGTCACCTAGGCTGGAGTGCAGTGGCGCGATCTCAGCTCACTGCAGTCTCAGACCTCCTGAGTTCAAGGGATTCTCCTGCCTCAGCCTCCAGAGTAGCTGGGATTACAGGTGCCTGCCACCACACCTGGCTAATTTTTTTTTTGTATTTTTAGTAGAGACAGGGTTTCACCATGTTGGCCAGGCTAGTCTCTAACTCCTGACCTCAAGTGATCTGCCCACCTCAGCCTTCCAAAGTGCTGGGATTACAGGTGTGAACCACCCTGCCCAGTCAGACCTTTCTTTTCTAAGGCATGAGGAGTCAGGATGTGCATTTCTTCAAGAGGATTTTCTTGGATGGGCATTTCTTGGAAAGAATTTTCTTGTTCCAGTTAGTTTCCAGATGCTGAAATTTCAGGTAAAATAATACGGGGAAAGTTCTGGGCTATGGGTCAGTGTGTGAATGAGTGTGTGTGTGACCACACATGTGTGTGCTCAGACTCATTTGGGGTGGGAACCTTTTAGGTCAGAAAAGGACCTCATGGGCCTCTACATGGACAAGCTAGCTATTCTGGCTTCTCAGCCTCCTCCTCTCCACATAGCTGAATGAATATATTCTTCAGAACCTCTGTTTTCCTGGCAGCATCTCCAGTGGGGAGCAGAAAGAGGAGTGGAGTCAAGAAGACCTGGGGAGGGGTCTGAGAGGGTATTTGAAATGGGGGCTTCATGTGGTGGAAGGCAGAAGCAGAAAGACCATGGTGTTACTAATATTGCAGTTGCCAATGCCACCCCACAGGCCCCACCCCCACCCCGCCCCACCCCCACTTCACCGGCCCCCCCCATCCCACCAGCCCCAATCCCACCCCACCCCCACCCCACCCCTGTCACGCTTCTGTGGCCTTTGTTATTTTTTGTTTTTTTTTTGAGATAGAGTCTCACTGTCACCCAGGCTTGAGCACAATGGCACGGTCTTGGCCCACTGCAACCTCCACCTCCTGGGTTCATGCAATTCTCCTGCCTCAGCCTCCCAAGTAGCTGAGATTACAGGCTCCTGCCACCATGCCCAGCTAATTTTTGCATATTTAGTAGAGACAGGGTTTGACCATGTTGGCCAGGCTGGTCTCAAACTCCTGACCTCGTGATCCACCCACCTCAGCCTCCCAAAGTGTTGAGATTACAGGCATGAGCCACCGTGCCCAGCTGCTGTCATTTATCACTTATTCTACAACAGCCTCCAGAGTGGGGTCTGCACCGCAAGCCTTCCCCTTTCAGCCTCAGGCTCCCCGGGCTCCCATTGCTGGCGTGATCTTGGGACTAACAGATATTCCAGCCTTGTCTTCACCGCCCCCTACACTTCCCTTGGCTTTTTGTTGCAATAGAACACTCTCCATGCTGCACACCTTCTCCTGGCCTCCATGTTTCCCCTGTCCACCTCTACAGCCTTGGCTGGGCTCATGCTCATTCCTCCCTCCCTCTCCAGCCACATGGGAGAGGTCTTTTGACCAAGCAAGCTCATGCCCACCTCTGCCATTGCACAGTGGAAGATATAATCGGAGTCTGGCATTTCTCTGCCTCATGTGCCTTCCCACTAACTACCACGCCTACTTCTTCCTGCCCAGTCCCCACCTCCTGAGCAGCTGGACATCCACGTCTGCCTGCTTAGCTCCCAACACTCTTTCCTTTCATTGGCATGTCTCCCTTCACAGAATGCAAAACTGAAGTTTGAAACTGTCAGTAATTTCTCCTTCTTCACATGAAGACAAGGCTAGTTCTCGTTCGCTGCAGGCCTACCAGTATTTAGCCTTCAGCAAGCACTTAACGAAACATCTATTGAGTAAAACTGATCTCTTTCTTACTGGCCTGAGAGTCCCTAAGAGGCAGGACAGCCTGCATTGCCAGGCTGTCCTCCACAGTACCCATCTCATAGGCTGTCCATAAATGCTTAGTAAACCAAATTTCAGTGATGCCCTACTGGGGAGAGTAATCTACAGTGTTTTCTATCTCTAAACACCTCTCTGCTTGCAAAAAACTTCCAAAACTTGGGTAGCAACCATTCTTGATTTTCAAAGGTGAAAAGCAATTTGCCACAAGCAGAGAAAGACAAATACTCTGGTTGGAAGAGGAAGAAGGGAGGGAAGCAATTATGGGAGGGGGAAGGGAGGGAGGGGAGAGCAGGCTGTCATCCCTCTCTCTTGAGTGAAAAGGAAAACAAAGAAAGGTTCTTCTCAGAAAATCCCATTTGCTCTTTAAGGGACCAGGCAACCACGTTGTCCTCTTTTCCCTGTGAAGTCGCGGGATCTGGGAGCACAAGGCCTGGAGGTGCCAGCAGGGATCTTGTGAGTCACCAGAGGGAGAACCTCGCATAGTTCAAGATGTCAGGTTTAACAGCAACTCCACCAATATTCATAATCCCCATGCACTCTGGGCTGTTTGCAATTCAACATGAAATTCTCTCTTTTGGTCATGCAACCATAGTTGTTGAGCCCCTACCGGTGCCTGCTTTCCCAGTACTTAAATTTTCATGTAAGGAGACAGATGAAACCCACACAGAAATAAACAAGAAGACATCAGAGAGTGCTCTACAGAACATGAGCATGAGGCAGTGATGCAGAGAGAGCTCAGCCAGGAAAGGCCTCCTGGAGTAGGCAACTTCTGAGCAGAGGTGGGGATGCTCCAAGGAGCCACCTGCAGAGATGGAAGAACATCCGGGCAGAGGGCACAGCACTGGCTCCAAGGTCTGAAGAGGGAGGAGAGAGAGGAGCACGTCAGGTAGGTCCCAGAGGCAGCAGGTGTCAGGTTGGGTTTACCTCCTCCAACCCGTCGTTCAGCTGGCATGGAGCTTGGTGGAAAGAATGGGGGCTGGGAAGATACGGCTCTAGACCTTGTTCTGCCACTGGTTTGCTGCAGGACAAGCCTTGAGCATGATGCCCTCCTGCCCTTGTTTTCCATGTCCTCTGAGCTACGGTCCTTCACTTCTTCCGGGTGGCATCTCAGCATCTGCAAAGCCACACCATTCCCATGTACATTCATTGTGTTTCGATGAAAACAGGATGAAATGTAACTGGGTCTGATGATATTAACTTGCCTGAAGGAACCCAGCACCCTGTCGCTGAGAGCTGCATTTTCCTGGGCGGGGCCCCCCTTTTAAGATGAAGATAGCTCCTCTACCCTCCTGAAGCTTGGTTGCTGGTTTTCCTCACACCTGCAGCCCATCCACAGCTGGCTGCCTGCTGGCCTAGCTCCGGGCTGATGGGGTGGCTGGATAGGCAGGAAGCTCCATGCAGCCTGACAGTTCCAGCATCAAGAGTCGACAGCAGCCTCCTTAGGCACGGGCCACAGCCTGGCACCTTTTTCTCCCCTCCTGCCTCGGGTGGCTGGGGTGTGGATTTTGGCGGGTGAATGCCACGTACCACACTTGTGTGTGGCAGCCGGGGGACCACCCAGCCCTGAGAAACCAGCCCACCACATGTCAGGGTCGGTTGTTTTCATGCGCGGACTTGTTTTTCCTGGCACTGCAAAGGCCACATGCTTCATGGCAGTACGTGTGAGGTGCCTCCGTGGGCTCTTACACAGCGAGAGTAAAGAGATGCACTTTTTTTTTGTTTGCATATGCAGAAAGTTATGTGGGAACAGAACCATTTATAACCCATTAAACTGCCTGTCTTGATGGACTCCCAGGCTGCTCCTACATGTGGATAATGTGTACAATATGTGTAGCGTTGGGGCAGCATCAGCAGTGGCTCTGGCCAAGCACTTATGTTCTAAATAACCCTCTCAGGCAGTGCTTGCTAATTAGTACCAGGAATAACCTCACAGCCAGTGGTGAACAGAGAAGCCTGGAATTGTCGGGAAGTGGGAGGATCCTCTGATATCCTTAACTCGTGATCTCCTTTCCAGAATTACCTCCAATACCATGTGTGTCCAATCTGGCAAGGACACTTCTAGTGACCAGAGGTGTCCCGGCCAAGGACTCGGTCAAAATCTGCCCTTTAGAGATGTTTGCTCTAGGGCCCTTGTCAGACCCTTTGGGGTCAGATCGAGTCCAATCCCTTCTTACGGGACTGCCCCTGGCTGTTGGAAGATTGTTCTTGCCATCAGGGTTGAACTGCCTGACACGATTCTCCTGCGCCTGGTTTTGACCTCCCCGTCCGTCCAAGCTCCATTTACTTTCTTACAAACACAGTTCCCTCGGTTTGCACTGAGTAGTCAAGAGGGAGAACAGGACAGGAGAGTCCCTTTTGTCCTCTGAGAGGCAGGCAGATCTCTCCATTAAGTAAGAGGATGAGAGGCCAGCTCCAGGCTCCCTACAATTCCCTCCTGGGGCTCTGCCAAGGGTCACCCACTTGTCAGGTGGGCAGACACCAACTCTGTCCAACACAACAGCCGGGCCGGGCTGCTCCCTGGGCCTCCGGGGCTGAGTGAGGACAGCTCCAATCTGTGGGCCAGTGGCTCACACCCTCCCTGGCCGTCCTTTCCCCTCATATGGGAAATTGAATTATGAAACCAGTTAATTTTATAAAACTCTTGCTTTAATAGTAGTGAGAGGCTGGGTACGGTGGCTCATGCCTATAATCCCAGCACTGTAGGAGGCCAAGGCAGACAGATCACCTGAGGTCAGGAGTTCGAGACCACCCGGACCAACATGGTGAAACCCCATCTCTACAAAAATACAAAAAAATCAGCCAGGCATGATGGCAGATGTCTGTAATCCCAGCTACTTGGGAGGCTGAGGCTGGAGAATCGCTTGAACCTGGGAGGCGGAGGTTGCAGTGAGCAGAAATAGCACCATTGCACCCCAGCCTGGATGACGAAATGAGACTCCATCCTGGAAAAAACAAAAAAAAAGGTAGGGAGGAGCTCTCATGGGAGT